CTGCCACTGGACACACAGGCAGAGAGAATCTAGATACTTCTGTGTCCGTGTTTTACTGAATCTGAGTTTAAACAAGTTTGATAAGTATTCTATCTCGTATTACTCTAATCCTAAAAAAAAAAAATAATAAGTATAATGAGATATGAGCTTATCAGCGAGATTTAAACATCCAAGAGTATGCATCGTCTCGAGAGGAGGTGAAACATTTACTCAGAGCAGACTACAGGATGCAGCAACTTCTTAACTTTAACACATGGCAAGTGAACAGCTTTCACCGTGGCCCTTTGTTCAGTACAGTCTGAGAAGCGTAAGACCACCTAAGGACTGCAAGGTAAATTAAAACTCAAATGTGGAAAGGACTATTGAAAGTTATCTATATTTACAGTTCAATCACACATTTTTATTTAACATCAGTATACAGAGGACAACCCCAGCAAGTTATTTTGTAATGTCAAGTATTTAGTAAAGTTCTTCAGCTGTAACAGTGACAATAGAACAGCTAAAAATAAGCAGTATGAAACAAACATGATCTTCTTAAAATTATAAATATACCAACAATACTTTTAAAGCTTAATTATTGCAACAGTTAAATTAACAATAGTTCATGTTAGAAAGGCTCTATGAAATTTATTCAAGTTGTCAAGAAATTAGATGGAAGTGTAAAAAGGAAATACATATGAATTTTACTTTTGATTTTCACTAAAGGTAGTCAATACAATTTTGTACAGTATCACCTAACATGGCAATCTTTAACAAACTCCAGTATACAGAATTCAGAAAATGCAGAAAAAAAAAAATATCGTTTAATCTTTACATGTAAATTGACAGTAAATTAACTGACACAAATTTTATTATTGTAACATAAGCAGGCCAGCATTTTAAATATTAATTTAGTAGCTTTACGTTGTTAAAGGGGCAGACATATACAGTCATTCCAAGTACATCATCAAATTTTAAGAGGTGATAACTCAGAACACGGGTCATCTAAAAAGCGTTTAGTAAAAGTCATGTTATTTCCTAATCCAGACATCTTCATCATAAAGCCTTTACAGGGTTATTATGATCTCTCCTGGCTTTACCGGAGCCACTTGTCACACCTCCTCACACACTCACACACACACACACCTTGCTATAAATATCACACCAGTGTAGTAGGTTTGGATTCCCCCTGACGCCGCGGGGACGCGCCATGTGCAACTTCCGCTATTACGCACGGTACAGAAAGCTTCCAATTTCAGCAGGGTAACCTGAACTCAGATAAGCTGCGGGTTTTTTTCAGTTTTACTAGAATCATCCCTGAAGTTTATACAGATACCGTATCACGTCGAAAGAAATCTCTTTGATAGTACTTAAATACCAGCAATTGAACTTCAATTGTAATGATGAAATGCTCCTTTCCACTGAGGAAGAATTAGTACGTATAGCTGCTCATCTCGCTCCGATAGAGTACATGAACCTTTAAGTACTTTCACTAAAACAGAAGTCATACTAAAACATGATACTGTACTACAATTGTAGTTAACTAGAAAAATTCAAGGATGTTATAATTTAAGCCTAAGTTTTCCTGTACAATAAGTCAAATAAATAAATTCCATGTGCATTTTGTTGTACAAAATGGTAGCATGTTTATCTTGCCAGGTTATACACTCCCGTTTCACCTCCTCCTCCTCCTGCCAATCTTACCTTGAGCTTTCTCACAACCCAAACAACTAATCTGTGACTTTTAGTTAAATAAAACGGTGAAGACGACAGTGAACAGTTAGTTCTAAAGTGAGACACCAAAATTACATAGTTTCTCTGACCACTAAATTCAGAGAGAACTTGTTTTTCATATCCAGGTACCACTTTGGGGCCTGGGGGGGGGTTGTTGGTTTTGTGTTGGTTTTTTGTTTTGTTTTGTTTTTAAATTGCTTCTGCAGGTGCTGTAATTCAGTTTGTAGTAGCTATAAAGATAACACGTGAAGTTTAACTTGGTCCCTTTAAAATTCTTTTTCTACATTTTCAGATTAATACAACAGCTCTGTAGTTTAGGTTTCCCATCAGGGGCTGACTGTCACCGTGTCGAGAAGAAAGTTCATGCTTTTTGTTAAGGCAACCTATTTTTCTCACCACGCTGAACCTTCTTCTTCAGAAACAGGCTAACGAAAAGTGAGGGTAAAAAATAGAAACTAATGAATCCTGAGCCTCATTCGACTTGTCCCTTACTGAATTTTGCCATTCACTTGGCCTCACTGATTGGGAGTTGGGACAACAGCTCTGGAAGTGCAATGCACGAAGGGTCTACCCAGCGAGGAAGCTCAAGGTACGATTATGTACACACTGAAGTAGTAATTGGGAAAGTTAATCACCAGTCAGGACACGCTGTAAGCACCTGTACAGCCCGTCAGCTATCCTAAGGATCACGGCTCAAGAGACATTCCTGGATTTCTTTCCCACTAAGGGCAGCACCAGCCCGACCAGAACAACGAGGGGAACTCATCACACACAGAAGTGTCCAATTAACCCAGCGCATCTTTCGATGGTTGTTAAAAATGAGAGGGAAAGGCAGCACTGCCTCAAGGGAACCCCGTCAGACGCTGCCAGCCTGCTCCCCTTCTCCATCCAATGCTTTCTGTAGGCTGGCAGCGGCGTGCATTTAATGAAGGCCTTTTGAGGCAATGATGGAAGAAGCAGCAAGATTCAGAGGCTTTCGCTCTAGAGTTGGCAGACAAAAACGTGACGGAGTTTTAAGATCACTTGGGGACCCATATTTCAAAAGGAAGACTAGAAATAGCAGCTTTAAACCCCAGAGTAATGGGACAGCCTAGGATAAAACAGCTGGCGAAACAGAAATGAATGGTATATAACCCAGTAAGAAAGACATTACCATGAGTGTTTTATACTTTGACAATTTTCATTAAATAAAATTATTAAGTGCTTTCCTATAAACAAAAAGGATGCTCATAACGTCCTTCTGGCACAAATATTTTCCTATCAAAGCCCTGTAAACATGCCACCAAAATTTAGTTTTTACCAGCAGAGTGAGCTCACTAGAAATGCAAGTGAAATCAGAAAAAAAAAAATCATTTGAAAATTTCTAAGTAAATACTTCCTAAACAATATGGCATTTACATCAGTGTGCAATATATTAATTTTGAAAGTGATAACTTCAGCATGAAAATTACTTACCTGTAATTAAAGTTTTCCATATTGGCCAATACATAAATCCTGATTTTTTGGTACTGCATACTTTATCTCTGAAATATTTGAAATGTCATATTCCAAATCAAAGTCAATACACAAAAATATTTCAGTTATACCCAGTCTAACAAAACCCACCTCAGCCACTGAAAAGAAGTTTAACAGTGTAGTGTTTAGGAATATGCAAAGGAGTTTGAGAACAGAAAGAAAATACAGGTCACAATAGAAATCTGAGGCACTGCTGTACGTGTATAAAGTTAATTCACAGTCCATGCAAATTGCACGGAGTCACAGAATCAATAACTGCTTTAGTATTCTCATTTAGGACAAACTTTTTAAATAGTTTAGTGTTTTGGGGGAGGTGCTTTTTTTTTTTAATTTTTAATTAATGCTGGATCTATAGGGTTTAGGCAAAAAAACCCCCAACCTTTTAGGTAACATCCTCCTCCCTTCTCCCCAGAAAAGGGTTTACAAGTTTTAGGTTTAGATTCAACCTTTAAATATGCATTAAGATGCGGAGCAGACATAGCTCTCTACACATACCTACACTGAGACAAATTTGATAATATCTCAAAGAAACTTACATTATGCAGTTTTAAGAAAAATTACTGAGGTTTACTTAGAATTTTATGGCAATGCAGATGTGGTGTAGAAATACAGTACCTCTGCTTCAAAAGCCAGATTTAGGAACCACATGATTAAAGCCTTATGAACATCAGATTTTCATTTAGATTGCCCAACTTGGCAATTTTCAGGTATTACCAGATTATTTCTTTATTTTCAGGTGATAACCTGCATCCCCTTTCAGAATTTTTCACAAAAAATTCTTTTTTTGCTAGGTCAACTCTGGTAGTGTTTTCATAGCTGTATTCCTTTAAAATATTGCTGGCAAACAAAGCTATTGTAGCACAAAGTACTTTTTAATAAAATAATAATCACCACGTTTAGCTTCATTCAAAAATCTAGCTTGCTATACATTGGACAGAAGAAAAATAAAGTTTTATCTGTGTTCAAGTGCATTAACAACAAGAGTTAAAACTAGTAATATATTTTAATGAAGGTTGAACTGATAGAACAGGTGCCATCAAAAAGCAGGAGCTTGTCAATGATCCAGCTGCCCAACAAAACTGACAGTAACGTAACACTGAAACTACTCAGAGAAAGCTGGCATGATTTTTCCCTAACAAATACAGAAATCAAAAATTAAAAGAGTTCCTTGCTAATACTGATTCACAATTTCAAGAGCAGAAACTACAGTCAGTAAAAAGGGCTCACAAATCTGTGCATAAAATGGCTGACGTTTCAATAAGGAGTGGTTTTACATTAAGGGCAGGCGCCACCACAGAAAAGGATGGAGGAACAAAACACTTTGGTTTTAATTTTTTCAGAGGCTTACATTTCTCATTAGACTTAAAAGCAGCAGCTTTTTCACAAGCTACTCTCGTTGGGAGTGCTGTATTTTGTGGAAAACATTAGAAGGATTATAATTATTTTAGTGATTGACAGGTTTTACTTCAATTTTTACATAAATAGCTTTCACCATATTGTGGTTATGCTTAAGTATAAGAACACTGATCAATAGTTTAGATGCACAGTATTTATTTCTTCTGCTGGAAGGCAACTATACTTAATTGTATCCAAGACACTTCAAATCATTCAGAAATATGGCATGCAGTATCCAAAAGTATGGCTCTGAGGATTTTTTTTTTTTTTTACATTAAGCATAAAGAAATTTTATATTCAACATTCATTTATATTTCAAGAAAACTACCTATTCAGAGTTCTAGTTCTTTGATGCAGCATTAAGGATTAAAACTTACCACTTTACCAGGCCTTGCCCATGTGCAAATAAATCCCTCCTGACAAGCAGTGACTATACAGTCTTCAAGAAAAATTAACACAGTCAGTCTTTCATGTGCTATCTTTTTACAGATAAGAGGCTCTAACAAGGGAACATCTTCCATTCGGGGACAGAGAGGTGTTCCCAAAGTTTTAGCTGGGTCCGTTTTGGTTTTAGTAACTAGGTTCAGTTTGTCACTGCTCTTGCTAGATATATGTCCCATGCTATGGTTTCTCTTGTGATCTTTTTCATGGTGTCTTTCCTTCCGATCGTGTAGCGATAAGGTTGCAAACTTACTAACGCCAGAAGCAATGGCACCATCCATGACACTGCTTTTACTGCCAGCATTTGAGACTGCAGAGTGTGGAAGGCTGTTTGACCGCGGAAGAGGAGGGGGTACAGAGTTTCCAGGTGTTGTGATACTGTTTCCGTTACTTCCCGGGTTAGTTCCACCACTTCCAGCAGGTGGACTTGTGGCATTCATGACATTTGTATGTGTCCTTGCTCTTGAGAGAGGTTGGTGGGGAAAGAGGATGTCTTCTGTAAGATCCCACAAACAGAGCTGCGTGTCCTGGCCTACGGAACCAAATCTATATGTAACGCTTACTGGACGACTGTCCGTAGAGTTCCTTTTGGATAGCCTAGATTGCGTGCTATTTGCTCGATCTCTGCCAAAATGGAGGTCTTGGAAATCCTCATCACTTCCGCTAAATTCCATCGGGTCACTCTCTTCTACACTAGTGGTATATGGATCAAACGCGACAACACTGACCCACGATTTGTGTCCGTGGCCTCTCGCTATGACTCGACTGTCCACGAAAGACCAAACTGTTACCAAGTCATCCTCTCCACCCGTCACTATGTACTTCCCATCGGGACTCCAACACACACACAGCAGTCCTCCAAAGTAGCTTTTCATTGTACCATGCAATTCCACCGAGTCAAAGTTAAACACGCGAAGAAAACCATCCTGGCTCACGCACGCCAAGAACTTCCCGTCGGGGGAAAAGGCAAATTCATTCAGGGCACCCTCACCTACTGTCCATTTAAGCAGAGGGTTTCTCGTGGATTTACTCTTGCAAGTGTGAACTGCAAAACTCTCTCCTTGTTTAAGCAGCTGGTAGTGCGGGGCTGTGGTACCACAAGTGTGCTCCACGTTATACAAGTACATATTGCCACTGGAATGAGCTACTAGGAAAAGGCTTTCCGAACCTGGTACCCATTTTACACAGGTTACTCTGGACTTGTCTATTAGTCTCTGTGAAAAACAAAGAAGATACACATCAGAAAGTCTGAAAAGTAAAGTTTTAATGATTAACCGTAAATCTGAGCTTTCTGAGGGGATGGGAACAATACTTAACCACAGCGAACCCAACTTTCTAGAAAGAAGCGGATGTACTGCATTTGCAAAAAACTTATCTTATCAGGCAGTAAAGAGGAAATTGTTTTTAGATAAAGAGCTGCCAAAGGTTATTATTATGGTCCAGTCACATTCCACAACGAACATATTTCAATCAAGCCAACCTGTTGTTATGAATCTAAAGTAGTGTTCTCGGGTTTATTTTTCGCTGTGTGGGTTGAAGAGCATGAAAAGGAAACAATCAAGGAAACACAGAATAAGCTAAAGGAAAGAAAGGCAGTTACTCATCTGTACCACAGAGCAAACAGCTTACAAATCAACAATGGTAAATTTAGACTCTGGTTTTATCTGAAATCACAAATAAAATCCATCCTTAAAAGAAAAAAAATAAAAGAGGCAGCTTTAGAAGCTTTTACATTATCAGATGGCTGGAAAGTTAGTAGTTAAATGTACATAGTTCAGTGAATTCAGAAGGCACCACATGCTCTTCACCTTGGAATTCCCACCCTCCAATGACTTTTCGTTCATTAGCCAAGGACCCGTCAATAATCTCAGTTACCACCCGATTCAGATGTTTCCTTTAAAGAAAAGCATTTTAGCAGAATCATCATTGCAAAAGAATGACCACAGGCATTAAACAAATGACCATGTCTTCACCACTGTAAGAACTGAGAGATAAAGTCTGACTCCTTGTGTTTGCTACTGTAGTTCTGGTGGATTTCTAAAACTTACCAAGTCGCTCATGGCATCACTCAACTGCAACTTGGAGACAAGTAATTCTTTACATGCACATTCAAGATTTGCATTTGGCATAGATTGATTATAGGCTGAAAGAAGAGCTGAGCTACACAAAAAGGCAAGAATGAGAATAGCAAGAGCCTAAAGAAATAGCAGAACAAATTACAAAAGCATTATAAAACAAAGGAGCGAAGAAGTCCCCCCCAAAACCTTGCTATGCTGTTTATCACAAAAAAAAAAACAAAAACAAAAAACCACCAAACTAATGGATAATAGATTGACTGTTATCCATTCTGAGCCTGTAACTACCACTGGAAAGCTGCACCTTTCATTTTAGATTATACTTTTGCATATTCTTTTGCTGCTGTCAACCTCAGTGTAACGCCAGGAAGCCTCTCTCCCATAATTCCTCATTGGTTAAATTAGCCTTTTTGTACTTCAGAGCCACGAGATGTAACTTCATCTGGGAACTCTTCCTCAAGTGTGGTAGCTTTAAAATAACATATTCTTAACTTCTGTTGGGATATTTAAAATAGTTTGTCATGTGTTCATTGATACATAATATATCATTCATGCCTCAGTAATGATGCTATCAGAAATACTAGACAAAAAGTCACCTGGTACACACCAAGAGCATATGGATGGGGAACCCCAGCCCAGCTGGCTTGTTAGAGGCAATACTTCTTACTATTAACTACCACTAATGTGGCAACAAAGAAAAATGTCACGCTCTCCTCCACTGGAGCAGCTCAACCTGGCATACAACCTATACAACCTCTATTCATAAGAGCAGTTGCTCAACTTTACTAGAAATGGCGTTTTAAGTCCATAATCACGTTTAGCTACACAATATTAAAGATTACACAGAAATCCTGCAAACCTGATCTTTACCTCCAGGATCTGAACAAACCAGAAGATTGCAATCTGCAATGAGAACAGATTAGCTCAAAGAGAGAAGACACAGGGAGACTTTAAACTGATAGGTAGCAAGTGACTACAACTCATCCCCTTCACGACCAGCAGAGCTTTAAATTCAGCAGGAAGATAGAAACTCTGAAGCGACGACTTTCTGAATTTTTAATAGCTTTCAGTTGGGCTCACACACTTCTGCCACAAAAGACCTGAAGTCAGTGTGACTGGAGACGCGCGACAAGAAGGGACTGGATGAGGTATCAAGAGAATCAGTGGAGCAGCTGAGATAAGGAGCTTATGTTCTGTTCAGTGAAAGAATAGTAAGTGAAGGACCTTCAGTCACAAGTCAGGAAGACAAGTCAAGATTATCTTGGTAGCCACGTTTTGAACAAGCTTGACGGGACAAAATTATAGGCATAGGCCACAAAGGAGTGAAAAAACTGAGGCAATCAAGGAATATGCATTAAAGTCTGACAAAGAGCTCTGGCAACACAGGTATAGGAAAAATTTATTAGGAAAAAAATTGCAGCTTAAGGCTTTAGTTTCAATAAGAATTAAAAAAAAAAGATGAAAGAAACATTTCAGTTGGCTAGCTTGAGAATAACCAACTATCACCTGGAAACAACAAAATCTGTGAGGTACACTTGGTTGGTTTTTGGGAATAAGAAAATATCACTAATGTAATTCTGACACGGCTAGAAGGAATCCCACTGTTGGAACAGATTGATTTAGGTAGGCAGCCACAAGCTGCATAGTATCACTCACCTCAGCCTTTCAAGTCCCTATTGTCTTCTACATCAACAGAATTAAAAAAAGAAGAAAAAAAAAAAAAAGGAAGAGTAACAAGTTAGACCCCATTAAGGCTATTGCATTTTAAGTTCAACATAACCTTCTGTGTCACAACAGGTTAAGTTAATTTCACATATCACATACGATTATGTGCTACCCTGACTGCTTTATCATGGTGATAGAACAGAGCTCTGGGCTACCTGAATCACCAAATTACTAACAGAAGAGTTGGTGAATTCTATTACCTCTAGCACTAGTGCTAAATATGTCAAAAAATGTAAACACCCATTTAGGCCACTTTCTGCCTATGAAGACATGCTTATTCTCAAACACTATCTAAACTCTAAATATATTCAAAACCCAACAGGCACCTTCATCTTGAAGCAAACAAACTGGCTCAAACATCAATGATTACTGATGTTCCTCTGAAATGGCTTTTAGATACGAGCCAGAACTTCCAAACACATCCAGGGCACACATCAATATTCTAATTGACGGAGAAAAAAATATAAGAAAGTTTTAGAATTGGTTGCAACTGCAGGTAAGATCAGTGTAGGAAACAAGAATTTGTCATTTAACTCTAGCCTACTGTGTGCATAGTTTTGGTAGCACTGAACAAATCCTTATGTTAGCTTTGTAGAAAACAGATATGTCATTTAACGTCCACCAAACTGACAAAGGATGTATTCCCACCACGGGGAAGCAATGCTGGTTATAGCACAGAGAAAAGACAATATTGTCTAATGGAAAGTGGCTTCAGTGCTCCCATAATTTGTGGTTTACCACACGGACTATTCAACGTGTAGCACAGCTTTACACTGCAGACACTAGGCAGTAAACACCACCAAGGCATGTAAACATGCATTGGACCTTTCTGCAAGAGTTTTAGCAGAAGTTTTTCTCAAAGAAACTATAGTTCAGCTACAAGAGTGGGAACTGCTCTGTGATGTGAAACTCCAGGTGTTTATAGTATTTCCACTGCCATTTGTAATACTTACACTATTATCATACAAGATCAAATCAGAGCTATACTCACACAAGTAGCTTGTTCACATCCAGGCCAGTGCTCCCAGTGGTGAAGTTGCACCAATGACAAAGTTTGGGGTTTTTTTTTTTTGGTTTGGGGTGGGTTGTGGTTGGGGGGAGGCACCGAGGGTGGTGGAGGGATGTTAGGACAATGCTAAAATGAACATTTCAACTACTTTTACAGAAGTTTCTACCAAACAGAGTACTCCATGCAATATTAAGAGATTCTCCAGCGCTGTTTCCCACTCAACACAAGCAGAGACAGCAGGTGGGAAAAGGCTAGGTAAGAAGCAAAACACCCCTCTTCTGATCTAGATGGAGCTACTTTTAGAAAGCTGAGGAGGAATTAGACAGTTCTAATTATAAAACATCCCCATTGAGAACAATACTTCAATCTTCTTTGCACAAAGACAGAGCAAGGCAACACATCTCTCTGAGGTGGGAAAGATATGCTTGCTCAGTTTGAAAGCTGAGCAAGGCTTAACTTCATTTGCAAAGCTCTTATCCAGATTCGAAATTAAAGGGAAAAAACCCAGACCTGCAAAGCTCTTTGCTGTTCTCCACCCCCTCAATTCACCTGCAGCTGGCTTAAAACACAAAAAGGAGGAAAAAAAAAACACCCCCACAAAATAAATCAACCCCCCAAACCACCCAAATTCCTGTAACTCATCCTCTGCAGAAAATGCTGTCAAAAGTTGTACCAGCTGCCAGATTTCTTGTCTTGTTAGCATCCAGACACTTACTCCTCTAAGAATGCCAATCCTACCAGATAATCAGAGCCAGCGGTCCTGTAACTTGTCATTAGTTCCCCCCACAGCACTCCCATCTAGCTTTCCTTATTGCACATCAGCAGAAAAAGCAGGTGGAGAGTTTCTTTCAGGAACATCACATGGCCAAGACCTCATAAGCCCTCAGCTTTTTCTATGCAGCATTCAGCTTGATATCCTAGTCTTCCCCAAGCAAGCCTTTAGGAATCCTTGATACAGAAAGTTTCTGCTGTAACATCCTGACAATACAAACTGGCATTTTAACCTTACTGAATATTTTGACCATAATGTATTAGCTAAGTAGGGGCTCAAATGTTTTCTTCTGCATTTGAAAGCAGAAGCCTCAAAAACAACTGACCTCAGAGCACATGCAGCAACATTTATAGATTTTTTTTTTCCACCAGTTAACTGTCATTAACTCTAGTTACAGTATTAGCCAAGCTAGAAAGTCCTAATTTTTAATCTAAAAACTCAAAAGATTCCTTCAGGAATAACATTTTTGTGTAGGTATTCCAAGCCAGTGAAAGAGCTGAAAAACAAAGGTAGTGACTGAATGATAAGCTATGTAAGCAAAGAGAGCCATCCATAGAACTTTGAGAATCTAGAATCTTTAGTATCACAATTACATTGCATGCAACAACGTTAAGATTTCTACTTACTTCCTCATTAAATAATTTGCTAGTTTCTTTTTTAATAGGGTCTATAAGTTGGACCTGGCCTGCAGAGAAGCCCACTAGAAGAGACACGCTTTCTGCTGTGGCTGTTAAGTGATTGAAGTCATGGCATGTCGGTTGTGTTCCTTTGTATATCCTTTTGTCTATTGGTTTGCTCAAGTCCGCAGCCTGCAAAGAGAGCAAACAGAATTAAGAGAGATTGTCACAATGTGTGCATAAAACCAAGTCTATTCGCGAATAATCTTTATACTAAACAACAAATTACGCAGTCACAAAACCCTATTTTGATAAATGCACAGCTGCTTTTTAAAGACATCCAAGATGTTGTCAAAAATTTTTATCTTTTCATATATTTGTGATTTTTAGTTTTGCTAAACACTAAGCCTACCCCAGCCTTTGCAACTACATCGTGACAAATCAATGGCAACCCTTCAGTAACACAAAGGCTTCAGCGATTCCTCAAGATCAACCTATTCCCAGAAGGTTTCTCCTGCCAGAAGGGTCATTCCATCACAGAGATCATCTACTTTCCTACTAGCAGCTTTCTCAATATTGAGTACAACCAATTTTGGATTAAAAATAGCATATTCCCAATTACCTAATTTGTGTACTGTAAGTCTATCCTTTTATAACAGGCAAACATATGATGTTGGTCTCAATTAAAAAAAATTATCGCCTAGATCCTAGGAGAACATTTTCTAGGCACACCAATTCAAGATGCTGATACTGTGATATAAAATACATTTTAAGCCATTAAGCTACAAAGTAATTGTGCTTCTGACACTGAACATAGAATTCAAATATAGCTCAGACAAAATAAGTGCCAACAAAACTGAGGAACTTCAACATAAACAACTGAAGATCTGGCACTGAAGTGTCAGAAGAATCAAAAGGAACAGAAAAGCAATTTAAAATGCTCTCTCAGTTGTGTAACCCATGTTTATCCCCATATCACTTCTGAACAGACAACTTAATCTTTCATCATCCAGAGATTAAAACCCACACATTTAATATGCAAGATCATACATCAGGCTCAACCTTTTCTTTTTTTTAAACTCCCTGTTTACTAGATTCGAAGTCTGTAATTAGAAAGCTGCAGAAACTCAACAATATTCCAGACCTGAGATGTAGCTGTGACTCAGGACACAGATTCACATTTTTATATACGCTTTTTCAGTATTTTTAGTTAGAGGAAATTGGGCCATTAATACAAGAAATAAAACTTCTTTGAGGAAGAGGACAAGCTTCACATAAGAAAAAATTGCCCCAGTGTATTAAACCTTGGAGGATGAGGTCTACAGCACAGCAAATCCTTTGTGTACACAGAGCTACTCAGACAGAAACTAGACCTGTCAGTAGGGAAAAATCATAACTAGCTACACAGTGAATCATGTCAGGTGAGCCATTTCCAAGGCAAATTTAACTACAGGATATGCATGATAAGCATATATACGCAACAATATTAAAGTTGCACTTATGCTTTGCAACATATATTATAAACCAGTTTAATCAGGTGTGGTGGCCTCCTGGTTGAAAACTCCAAAATGAGATGATGTGTTCCAACTTCTCAAGTCAGCAGATTAAAAAGTTACTCTCCAGAGCCCAGAGATCCATTATAAGCTAAAAAAGAATATTAGCAACACCTCTTCAAGGAGAACTTAAATAGAATACTAGCTCTACTGGGAGATCGTAGGGTAAGGCGCATGCCTACCAAGGAGCATTCACAGACAGATGCGAATCTGTCATTTGAAGCTGAAAGATCAAATCCTACAGGCCATGCAGTTATCTCTTATACTGTACAAGATTCCTTTGTCCTGTCACTACAAAATAAGTGATATCAAGAGATAACTCTCATAATTGGGGCAACATTTCTATCTGGAAGACCATTCTACAGAAACATATAGATGCATACCTCAAAGAAAGACAGAGTTAACAAGGTTACCCTATGAGACTCAAAGTTGTATCCTCTGGACAAAAGTTCCATCAGGTCCCAGAGCCTAAGAGGGAAGATCCCTTTTAAAGTGAACAGGGCTCAGTCTGAATCATACTGAATGATCAGAGAACCATAGACTCTCCCAGCCAACAGAAAACATGATTATTCCCAGGTCCTCCTCCTTCTGAATCATCATTATCCTTTTAAGCAGCAAGGAATCAGTAGGTGAGTATTTTTACATTGGAACTGTACCTTGCTCTTTGGTCTGGTAGGATTTTTATATCACTAATTTTTGTTTGTGCTGTCTGACAAATTTGGTGTGACTAAAGTTCCCCTTCTTCTGAAATTGTCTGATAACGGATCTGCCAAGGCATGACATCCTGATAAATTGAATCTAAGCACAGACTTTACTGCACTGCTTCTTAGCTGTTCTCTGGGAACCAGATGGCAGTGACAATCTATCTGAACTTAAATGGAGTATAAATAAACTAATTCAAGCCAGAATTAACCAGGCTTCTCCTGACAGGGATGCCCCACCTTTTATTCACATGCAGCTAGTGTTTTCTGTATATAATATAGTTGCCTCGTGGAGATAAGTCAAATCTACAAGCACAAAAGTACTCTTTTGGTCTCAATCTCTGTAAATTTAAAGGCAGGGTAGAATCAATGAGTGTAAGAACTAGGAGACATTTTCTTTATTTCGGCACAGTTGAAGGTTGCTATTGGATTTTGTTAAGAACAAGAAAAGCGCTTACTCATAAAATTCAATCGCGCCTGGGACTCAATGTTTCATTAGCTCACCACTAAGGCCATTTGCTATAGCTGTTTTGTGGAAGGTCTCGTTCTCAGAAGAGAGCTTTTACATGAAATCCGAGTCCTTAACTGTCAAATCCTAGGATATGACACTATTTACTGAACAAGGTGATGTGAACTGCCCCCCCCTTTCTCAACATGGCGATGTACTTTGAAAGAGAACAGAAAGATCTTGGGATTAAGTGTTACCAAACATGGAGGTTAAACGCACAGGATCAGGCACCCTCACCTCTGCTTGAGCTGGTAAGTAAGCTATTTGCATGCTTCCTGTCCCACTTCTTTTAACATTTTCTTCTGAAAAAAAACACTCAGCATTATTCCAGCCTGTCCACTTTGAGAAACTTACTCCATTGCCAATGATTCATGATGAAAACAACACTTTATCACGACTGATTCTAACGCAAGGCTAAGAGTCAACACCATCCTCCCAATAAAAATTTGTGCAAGCCACTGAAGTACATCTCAGCTAATCAATACTCCGGTATTAGCAACTTGGCCAACTCATACCTGTGTTAGAAGTATGTTCCTTCCGACGTACCGTGGTATTTCAAGTACCCCTTGGGCAAAGGGACAAGGAGTAGTGGCTGTCAGGCAACAAGAACAAGAGGAATCTCACACAACACCTGTCTGAAGTCAGCCATACGGCTGAATAAAATTCAGCATCAACAGCTTCCAAGTCCTGTGTTTGAACAGATTAAAACTCTCTAGAGAACCTTACACTTACTTATAGAAGAAAAACTGACCAACTCTGCCATTTAGTTTCCTGACGAATTCATACTCATAATAAAATGTGAGCCGCGTAGCTGTTTGGGGGACTTCCTAGTCTCATTTAGTTAATTCTCACAGCATGCTATTTTAGCAAAATTACCCCTACTCTGCTGGGGGAGGGAGAAAAAACAAAATAAAGTCTAACAGTCTAGCAGTTGTCCATTCACTCCGAATTATGGCTTCCAGCAGAAAGGCAGTCAAATGGAACATCTTAACCACAGCTTTTAATTACCAAAACTTTAGGAAGAAAATAAAAAGAAAGGAAGGAAGGAAATAAAAAAAAAAAAAAAAAAAAAAAATCAATCAGCTACATCAGTCTGAAGCAAATATTTAAGTTTTCTGATTCTGATGTTTGAGATGTCTGATTAGGACGGACATAATAACCTGGGTTCTGTGGCTGTATGTAATTCTAAGGTCAAAGCCAGATTGCCAGATTAATATCTACCCAAGATTCCCTTTTTTTATGTACTATTGATCCGAGACTTAGAGCTTTCATACTAAGATTTCCCAAACAGTGAATCACATTATTTCAAGTCAGCATTTAATCATGCTCCTTGACAGATGTGATTTCTTCCTGTATCTTTTCTTTTCCTAACTTATATCTGCAGCTTTCTGCAAATTTTAGTTGAATGAGATGTATCATAGATGCTACATTTCCTTCCAAGCTAAAAAACGTCTCCAAGATCAGAAAGGAAAAGAGCTATTTATTCATTTATCTCAGATAGTTTCAAATGTAGTAATCAAAATGCTTCTTTTAGATACTTAAAAGTATTAAATAACATGTTGTCCAGAAGAACTGGCTTTCAATGGGTGATAGCTGTGAGATGGAGACAGAATATTAGATCTTTAAGCTTGGAAGTGAGGGCAAACATTTAATAAAAATTTTATTTCCAAAAATCCTCTTAAGAAAATCTCTGTTGTCCAGAGAATTAATTGATCTTGAACAGCAGATTACAGATTGGCTATGTATGTAGAGCTCCAGTGCAAAATGAAAGGCACAAAGAACCAAGATTCTATACTTCTGAAAACAGTTTCCTCCACATTTCTGGAGCTTGGAATTCACAACTTATTACCTGTAGCTTGGTATCTCATCCATACCTCTCTGTCCAGGGATTTAATGGTTCCATCTACAAATGGAACAATCTGAGAAAGCTGTGCTTGTTATAATGCTATACAGGTAACATGAGAAATCAACTCTTAGAATTATTAAGTGAACTTTATTTAACTTCACAGGTGCTCTTTAAACCCTAGCTGAAAACAAGAGGCATGGAAACCCTTGCTGCAGCACGTTGTCTTACAGTATACCCTCGTGAACAGGGCAAGGTCTTCCAGGACAGACTCGCTCGCTGTATTAGCAAGGACAGGGAAAACTAAACCAGGAGGCCCCTTACAGCTTGTTTATTCTTCCTCCATGTCTGTGCTGGTCTCCCTCTCCTTCCTGCAGAGCTAGCTGAAGGACAGAGAAAGTCAAGGAACACAACAAGAAAGCTGAGTTATCCCAGGTGCTTTTGTAGAACTTTCTGGAGAACTCCGTTCATTCTTTCTGTACACAAGTTCTTCTGCCAGAAACACCAGAAATCCTTCAAATTACTTTATTATCAAAGGAGTAGACTTTCGTTCATTCTTTCTGTACACAAGTTCTTCTGCCTGAAAC